TTCCTTCCGAGGAGTGGCTGGTGGGTTTGAACCGCCAGCCTTCTGGTTAGCAGTCAAGTGCCTTAGGCACTATGCTACCAGAGCTCCTAATGTTGGGGATATACTGCCTCAATTGAAGTTGAATGGGTGCCCATCTGAAAGTCTCTATTTTGGTAGGTGGGACATAAAGTTGTCTGCTTGAAGGGAAGAAGTGGAAATGAGGAAAAGGGTAGGCAAGAAGGACATCTGTGGGGCACAGCTGCTGAAGGATATAGGAAGAGCCTGTGACTAGGAGCTAGAAAAGGGTCACCAGGCAGCATGCATGTCTACCCAAATCTGGACACTGTGAATCTGCAGTGGCTGAACCACTGCTGTGCTCTGTAACCTGAGTGTAACAGTGGAAAGAGCAGGCAATTGGATTGTCCTAGAGTTAGCTGGCTAGGCAGAGAGGGAAGGAAAGGACAGAAGACAGTGAGAGAAATTATTGAGAAAAAGGAGTTGTGAACAATTTATCAAGCTTACCTGGGAGAAGGGGTGGGAGTGGAATAAAGCCAAATAAGAATCAACAAATTGAGCTGGGGGAGAAATAGAGGAGATGAAAAGTATATACAGGAGGTGTACAGGATTTAAGAGAGGTGGAAAGATAAGAGATCTTATCAGTAAGTATTGGAGGTCAGAATTTCAGTGGTGGGAGAGTACTGGGTAATTGCATAATTGCATGACTCACTTGAGGTGGGAAGGGACAGGTAATGAATTGAACTTGGCATAATGAGTTTGAGGTGCCTGGGAGGCACTCAGTGGAGCTAGCCAGAGGTACATTAGATACATCTTCTCAGCTCCTGTCATATGTTAGATGCAGAGGAGCAAAATATCACCTCCTTTCTTAAGCCTGATCTTTCTCTTGTTATTTGCCGTCAAGTCGGCCCCGACTCATAGCGACCCCTCCTTGGGTTTCCGAGGCAGTATCACTACGGAAGTAGGATTGCCCAACCTTCCTTCCGAGGAGTGGCTGGTGGATTTGAACCGCCAGCCTTCTGGTTAGCAGTCAAGTGCCTTAGCCACTATGCTACCAGAGCTCCCTCTAGTGTTCCTCATTTCAGTGAACAGTGCCATCACCCCAAGTTGCCCCAATCAGAACCTGGAGATCATTTTGCTCTTCTCATACAATCTCTCATATTTCATTTTAGGCAGTTATATCCCCTAAATTGCCCTCTAAATTCATCCTCTCATTCACATTTTCATACTGTTTCTTTAGCACAGGTCATCCATACTTCTTGCTCCAGTGACCTTCTAATCGGTTTCTAAGTCTCCAGTCTTGCCTCTGCTCCAATTCATTTCCCATTCTTTTGCCTGAATGGTCTTTCACAATCATGTTACCTCTTTCTCCTTAACAACTTTCAGTAGCTTCTCTTAGATTTAGGATCAAGTGCAAATTCCTAACCATGCTTCCCACAGGGTGCTTGATGATCTGGCCCTTTAGCTTGGTCTGATCCCTTCTCTTTTCTTCATCCAGACTGTGTTCCTCAAAGGAACCACTGTCTCTCATACTTGATATTTTGCATAAAGTATTTGTTCTGTTTAGAATGCCCTTCTCTTCCTTCTTTGCTTCGTGAATTCCTATTCCAATACTCAATACTCAGGCAATGTATCACTTCCTTCCCTGAAACCTCTCTTGACATCATCTCTGAACCCTGGGTTAGGTTCCCCTTGCATGAAGCAGTGATTGTTAATTTAGCATCTCTATAAGCCTAGACTAGCACAGGGCCCAACCCTTTGTGTATAAAATAAACGTTGAATGAATGAGTGAATATACTTCTAATAGTCTGGTGGTTTTACGCACATACATGTAAATCTAAAAGATAGGATTACTATTATCTAGTTAAATGTTAGCAAGCAACTGGCTCACTTCAATATGATAAACATTTTTACCTAAAGGCAGGTGAGGTAAAAGCATCTTAAATACCTTGAAAAGCAAAGCTCGATGGTAGAAGATCCCTTTTTTGATCTGTCCAATTGGAATCACATTGGATTTAAGCTGAAATTTTAATTCACTTATGTGAAGTTCCCAGCTGAATTCATGTAGTTTCTCTTTCTGAATAGGACCACCCATTTTTTCTGCCACATACCTGTGTCAATTATATTGATATCAAATTTGTTATCTTATTTTGGATGCTTTGAGTGTAATTACATGTATAAAAACTGAGTTCCTTTTTATTGGTTGCTTTACTTTTTAAAAATATACTTACAAGTAGGTTAGCATTATGCTTTTTGTATTCAAAATAATATATTTCTCCTTGCTGTATGTGAACTGAAAATTCTATTCATTTCTTTGAACACAAAGAAGAAAATGAGTGCTAATTTTCACAACATTGATAACAAGACATAAATCAATATCACACCAAATTTTTATCAATGCAGTTTTACAATTGTCTTACTCTTAGAAAAATTTTAAATATTTTCATCTAAATCTTAGGCATTGTACTAATGTGTCATTCTTTCAAACAACTTAAACTCAGAAACAAGATAAATACAGAGAATGTCCCCATTAGTTTCACAAATATTTTCAAATATTACAAGTTTTTTTATTTTTTAACTTGGAGAAAGACATGGCATTTACACAGCACTAAAGCAACCCCCATTGGGTTTCCAAAGCAGTAAATCTTCCTTCCCTAGAGAGGGTGGTGGGTTCTTGTTAGCAGTCAAATGCCTTAGGCACTGTGCCACCAGTGATCCTTAAAGATAGAGGAGAGAAAAAGAAGAGACAGGGAAAAAAGAGGAATTAGCTGTGGTAGGGGGTGTCAGGCAGGATGACTGTGTAATACTTTGACTGTGGGTTTCTCCTGGTATTAGGCTGTCACTAGAAGAAGACAGTGAACACCCTTGCCACAATCCAAAATAAATAAGTAAAAATCCAACACACTACTATATTCTTGGGGTAGAGGCAATATTACAAAATTTTAAGGAAAGAATTTCTCTTTGCTGTATGTGAAGCCAAGTGAAAAAGAATAAACGTTAAAAAAAAAAAAAAAAAGAGCAGGGAGGGAGGTTGGGGAGACAGGTGCTGAATTGACTTGCAGTTTCACCCAGCCAAGTATAGGCTAATTAATGAATGCTGGGGAACCACAGCCGGAAGAAGCAGTTCTCTGTGTCTCTTTCTCTAGCTTGGTGTGGGGTCAGGTTCAAAAGACAATTATTTGAAGATGATGAACAGTGTTTCTGATAGGAACAAAGCATGAGAAAAATTTGACAAATGTTTAAATGAGTTGAATTAGAGTTCTGCTTGAGTCATCACTTTTCAAGGACACCAGGAAAACTTCAGTAGCCAGAAATGTTCTCTTGCAGTTCTGGCTGACAAGAAGTCAACGAGTTGGCAGCTGTGTGACTTGCAGTTGTCACATCTAGGTTGGATGACTGCAGCTCACTTCTATTTGGAGTAGATATAAGCTCCCATGGAGACTGCAGCTGTTGCACAACCCAGCAGCTCACCTACTGGCTGGTGTCAATCACAAAGGTTTTCCTCCATTTCTACAGTGGTTCCTAATCCCTTCCAGCTACCAAGTCAATTCTCAGGCGTCTCTTAGTGGAATCAGATTAAGCACTCCAAGGAAGAAGTCAACACCACTGGCCTACACAAAGCTCTGAGTCTGCTCAAGCAACCATCTTTTAGATGGCTGCTACAAAGAAACTTGAAATTCAAAACATTCTGATATATAACAAAAAAATGGAATGATTATTTGTATTAGAAAATAATGTGTAATTCACAAATAATGTGTAGTAGGATTCCTTTACATTGTGAGCACTCCATAAACATAAGGAATGATTCCTTTCAAACTTTTGAGTCATTAATAATGTCTTCAGGATTGCATTGAAAGGTGCTTTTAGTAATTTCACTGGAGAAAAGGATATAGGCATTTTTCTCTAAGTAGTTTCCAGCTTTTAGCCCTGATTCTTGATGGAAATATGACCTCAAAAAAAAAAGTTTTTCGGTTTATTGTGTTTTTACTTTAGAGTTAGAGCTAGGGTGCTGGAGAAGTTCAGTTTTATTTGTATTTGTCTGAAAAACTGTCTAAGAAAAATCAAATCACTGAGATCAGTTGGGTTTTTTTTTCAGAAATAAAAAATATAGGTATGCACAGCATAATATCCAACTGCATATACATCCGTGGTGTGGGGAGGAAGAGCTTGCTTTGCAGGGTGCCAGGAGGCAGGGCTGGCATTCAGTTTGCCTGAGCAGCTGCAGCTGGGCTCCCATGGCTGCCCTGGTTTGGCTGCAGCCCGTGGCTCAGTTGTAGCCCTCAAGCCACGGAATGGCTTGCAGCCTCCAAGCCCTGTGGTTGCAGCTGCCACTGATGTGTGCCCTGCCCAGCTGTGGGGACACTCTGGACTGTGACTGCTCCACTCCATCCCTCAGGGCTTCTGTTAATGACTAGGATCCTTGAGGGCTGCTTAAAGAGCTTGGCACGCCCAGCGGCAGCCAATTGCAGGTGCCAATTTGTAAACACTGAGGTTCCAGGTGCTAATGAAGAGCTAGAGGAGCTTGCAAGGGGTTACTTTGATACATGTTTATCAAATATATATAAACATGTACTATATATAATACGGCGTTTGCACAACATCCAAATTGTATAACGTCCTATTGTGGACATTAAGTGACACATACTTGTATATATGTATATAGAGACAACTTACTTTGCAAGAGCCTCAATCTGTTCCTTCATATTGGCTATGGGCAGGATTGTTTTAGTCACTTCATAGACATAAAGACACAAGTCAGGGTCAGAAGGAGGGCACCATTCTTTATCAGGGGTTCCTTCTCCAGTCATTTTTGGTGTTGACAAAACTTCTTCCTCCTCTTTTACTTTTTCTTCTTCTTTTTTACCTCTCCCTTTTCTTTGAGAGTAAAGAAGAGCAAACATAATCACATCTTTAGCTAAATAAATGAATAAGCACTAACTGTGCTCTGAGTCAATCTGAGGAGCAATCACAGAAATAAGATATTTTGTACCTCAACAACATCATATCTATTTTTCAAATTTTCAATGACAATTTCAGAGTTTTATTTTATAAAGTTTATATTATGCAGGAGAAATTAATTTGTAAGCAAAGAGTATGTGATTGATATATCTTATTAAAGTCATGTATTGGACTTATGCATGGTTGCCTAGCACTGTGTCTAGCACATAGTAGGTACACAATATATTTTCTGAATTGAAAAAAAAATATTTGCTTCTTCAGGGAGTCTAAGCCAGTCTTATATCATTTCTTGATTCAGTTGAGATTGTCTTCAAGGAAAAATTGGATCACTATTTTAAAGAGAAATTATCCAAATCATGGAAATAAGGAGAAAAAACAAACAAACAAAAAATACAGCATATAAGCTCCACATCATGCAAGAACAAAAACTCGGTGTTTATTTAGGGAAACAAACTTAATTTACTTACTAAAAATGGAATGTACTTAGAAAATAACGGAGATATTGTTTACTATTAATTAAAAGTTCCAGAACTTGAATAGGGAAGTTGCAAGTTAGCATGTGGATTTTTTTCTGGTAGAGAATAAGATAATTTCTGTCCACTGGAAAGGCCTCATAAAGGTTACTGCCCTGTGGAATTTTGTTGTGGATTGAACAGTGTCTCCAAAACATATATGTTGAAGTCCTAACTCCTAGTAACTGTGAACATCACCTTGTTTGGAAATAGGGTCTCTGAAAATGTTAACAGTTAACGTGAGGTCCCAATGGACAAGGGAATCCCAAGAGACTAGTGGTGTGCACTTTTTGCCCTTTTTATATTTTTTCCAGTTCTTTTTTCTTTACTTCCCCCCTTTCCTCCTCTTCTTCCTTATGTTTATTCATTTTTTTCTTCATCTATTTTTTTTTTTTCCTTATCCATCTGGTATGAGGAAGACATTATTTCCCCACTAGTCAGCCACATCCACCATATGTAGTCCTTCACCCAATGGGTGAGTGCCACCACCTATTCCTGTACCATTGGATCAGTGGCAGACGGTGGACAACATCTGCTCACACCATTCACAACTGCTCTACATGACCAGTAAACAAAGACTCCCACTCCCACCCACTACTCTACTCACCAGAGACAAGTGGGGAGTGCCACAGTGCTGCCAAACTGGCACCCCAAAGTAGCATGCCCACCCTGCCCACTGGATATAGCAAAAGAAAGCAAAACAAAACATTTGGGCAAAACAATCATCACATAATTAACAAATAAATACAATTTCACCTAAATGTCTTGGAGACAATGTTGTTGTTGTTGTTATGTGCCGTCAAGTCGGCCCCGACTCATAGCAATAGATAACTACAAATCAAACAAAGAAATAGGACAAGATGGCCCAAATAAAAAGCCAGGAAACCACCAAGGGGAAGTAATGGTAACAGAACTACTTGATAAGGACTTCAAAAGATTTATATATAGGGTTCTACAAGAAATCAAGAAAACCACAAACAAAATTAGGGAAAACAAAACAAAAGCTAAATGAGAAAATAAATTGACAATTAGAAACCATACCAAAGCAGCACGTAGAAATCTAGAAGTATAACACTAAAATTTCAAGAGATATATAACATACTGGAAGGACAAAGAAGTAGAAATAGAATGAACAGAAGACAGCGAATTAGAGAACGAATTCCTTGACACTATTTTGTATGAGGAAAAAATCAGAAAAAAAGAATGAAAATGAAGAAAACCTAAGAGTTATGTGGGACACTATTAAGAGGAAAAATTTATGTGTAATTGGAATTGCAAAACAGGAGGAGGCAAAATATAAATAAATAAATAAAACCCAACCAAGAGAATTGTCAAACATTTGTTGTCAAAAAACTATCCTAACATTATGCTCTGGTAGCTTAGTGGCTAAACCACTTGACTGCTAACCAGAAGGCTGGTGGTTCAAACCCACCAGCCACTCCTCAGAAGGAAGGTTGGGCAATCCTACTTCCGTAGTGATACTGCCTCGGAAACCCAAGGAGGGGTCACTATGAGTCGGGGCCGACTCAACGGCACATAACAACAACAACAACAACATTATGCAATATGAAAACATATCTACCCATCAACACACCTAATACAGGATAGACTCCAAAAGAAAGTCACCAAGACATGTACTATTCAAACTTTGTAAAACCAAATGCAAATAAACCTGAGAGCAGCTTGGGAAAAAGAAAATGTTACCTACAAAGGGGAACCAATAAGACTAAGCTCTAGTTTCTTGGCAGAAACCATGTAGGCAAGAAGGTAATAGGATAACATAAAATCCTGAAAGAAAAAAATTGCCAACCAAGAAATATATATTTAGCAGAACTGTTGCTCAAATATGATGGTGAAATTAGGATATTTCCTGATAAACAGAAATTAAGGGAATTTGTAAAAACTAGATCAACTTTACAAGAATTGTGAAAGGGAGTCCTTTAGTCAGAGAACCAACAATGTCAGGTAACACCTGAGATTAAGACACATACAACATGACCCAGAAACCAGCCCACAGAATAATAAAATAAATTTATAAGACTGAAAATAGGGAACCAGAGATGTCAGTCTGTAAATGAAGACAAGTATAAAGCGAAAAGAGGGAATAAATGATATAATTACTGAACTTCCAAATGAGGAGAAAGTCAAGATTATACCAAGGTAGAACAGACTGCTTTAAACTTAGGAAGATAAAAATAAATTACCAGATAATCACAAAGAAAATCAATAAACCTTCTAACTAGAATAAGAAGAAAATCAGAAGGATTCAGTAAACACCAATTCAACAGCAATGAAGAAAATGAAAAGCAAATCTGATACCAAAATGAACTCAGCATAGAAAAATATAAGAACAAAGAAAGAATCAAAACTACAATAGAAAACACAAAAGAATGACAGCAATAAATTTGTACCTGTGAATACTTACACTGAATGTAAATGGATTAAATGCTCCAGACAAGAGACAGAGATTGGCAGAAAGCATAAGAAAATATTATCCATCAATATGCTGGACTCACCTTAAACACAAAGATAAAAATAAACTAAAAATCAAAGGATGGAAAAAAAAAAAAACATATATATCAAGCAAATGACAACCAAAAAGGAGTAGGAGCAGGAATGGCAATATTAATTTCTGATACAATAGATTTCAAGGCAAAAACAAGCATAAGGGACAAAGAAGGGCATTATATAGTGATTAAAGTGCCAATCCAACAGGAAGACATAACCATAATAAATATCTATACACCCAGTGGAAGAGCACCAAAATCAAACATTAACAGAATTGAAAAGAGAAACAGACAATTTCATAATAATAGTAGGAGACTTTAATACACCATTTTTGATGAAGGACGAACAAACAGGAACTCAACAAATATACAGAAGATATAAATAACACAGTCAACCAACTTGACTTCATATACATACACACAGAACACTCCATCCAACAAAAATGAAATACATGTTCTTTTCCAGTACACATGAATCATGCTCCAGAACAGACCATATGTAAAGCCCAAAGCAAGGCTTAATAAATTTAAAAACATCAAAATAATACAAAGTATCTTCTTGGATCACAGTGCTATAAAATTAAAATCAATAGCAGGAAGATCAAGGAAATAAAATCAAATACATGGAAACTGAGTAACACCATGCTACTGCATAATAGAAAAAATTTAAAAAATTAAAAACATTTCTTGAATCAAACAAAATGAAAATGTAACATACCAAAACCTTTGGGACATAGGAAAAGTGGTGCTCATAGGTCAATTTATGGCATTAACTGCGCACATCAAAAAGGAATGAACTGAAATGAACACCTTAACTCAATATCTCCAACAATTAGAAGAAGAGCAGGAAAAAAGCCTACAGTCTTCAAAAGAAAGGAAATAATAAAGTTTGGAGCAGAAATAAATGAAACAGAAAAACAATAAAAGAATAAAAAAAAAACAGAAGTTGGTTCTTTGAAAAGATGAACAAAATTGACAAATTTTACAAAGGAAAAGATGCAAATAACATGAATAAGAAATGAAATGGGCAACAGCATAACAGAGCCAACTGAAATAAAAGGATAACAACAGAATATTATGAGGAACTGTACTCCAAATTTGAAAACCTTGAGGAAACAGACAAATTTCTAGAAACACACAACTTACCTACACTAACACAAACTAAGGTAGAAATTTTGAATAGGCCCATCACAAAAGAAAAAATTGAATAAGTGATTTAAAAAAAAAAAAAGAAAGTCCTGGCCCAGACTGCTTCAATGGAAAATTCTACTGAAAATTCAGAGAAGAGCTATCACCAATTCTACTGAAATTATTCAGTAATTTGATGAAATACTTCTGAATCTATTTTATAAAGCAAGCATAACCCTGATACCAAAGCCAGGCAAAGACACCACTAAAAAAGAAAATTATAGACCAATACTCCCCATGGACATAGGCATAAAAATCTTCAACAAAATCCTAGCCAACAGAATCCAACACCATATCAAGAAAGACCAAGTGAGATTCATATTAGGTATGCGAGGATAGTTCAACATTAGAAAAACACTCAGTGTAATCCACTACATAAATAAAGGAAAAGAGCCATATGATCATTTCAATTGATGCAGAAAAAGCATTTGATAAAACCCAATACCTATTCCTGATAAAAATGTTCAACAAAATAGGAACAGAAGGGAAATTCTGCAATATAATTAAGGACATACACGTAAGACCAATGACCAATATTATTCCCAATGGAGAGGTACTGAAAGCATTCCCCTTGTGAACAGGAACCAGGCGAGGATGCCCTCTGTCACTTTCCTATTCAGTACTGTACTGGAAGTCCTAGCCAGAGCAACAAGGCAAGAAAGCAAATAAAAGGCATCCAAATTGGTAAGGAAGAAGTAAAACTACTCTT